ACCCTCCCGCCCAATAAGCAGCTTCTCCTTAAACCCCCACACCTCACACTTCCATTCCTCTGTACTTTTTCAGTACAGAAGGAAAAAAAAAATCTTTTTGAGATGAAGAGAACACAAGAGATAATCCAATTCACTAAAGAGCCCTACATTGAAGATGTTGGTCCTAGAAAAATGTCAGTTAATTGAATTTTTATTGTTTTTTTGTTTCTGTTTTTTGTTAATGTTTTGATCAATTGTTTTTTTAATATTATTGTTGGAACAGAAAAAGCATTCAATTTTCTCTATTCTCAGAGGTGGAAATTTTGAAGTTAGGAGAAGTTGAAGTCTACCGTGGGGTTTACTATGATTCTACTAAAAAGCCTATTCCTAATGGCTTGTTAGATCCCCGCATGGTAATCCTCTTTCAACTCTAATTCACATAATAATCACATTTAAACTGATTTAGCAAAATAACCATTGAACACTGTTTATAGAAGGCCGGTCCCAACTCGTCTATATACTACTCCATCCGTTCCATTTTATGTGACGCTGTTTCCATACAACTTGTTTGTATTGTATCATATTGTTTCGATGAATACACCATTTGTTTTGGTTGTTACTTAAATTTTATTAACGACAGATTTGGTGTGGTCACGCTGTTATTTGTTTTTCCCCCTCATTTTGTCCTTAATTATTATTTGGTAATTACATTTTACCTTTTACCCTACTCCTTTTTAATAACTCTACCTAGTATCCTACTCTTTCTTTATGTTATTGTAAGCTTATTCCTCAAATTGCTGGCTATGTGACATTGTAAAACGATATAATCTATTCAGACATTGTATTCATCGATACAATACAGTACAATACATGATGAAACAATACATAGCAACCATCGAAACAAATTGTTATTAGTACATTTCAAAAAGAATGGAACATTTCAATATTTGGAAACTGTTTAACTTTAACTTCCCATTGCACTTACTGAGAAACTTCTATAGCCATACAAATACTCCAACATATTTAAGACCAAAGATCTCAAAAGTCTTCGTTTTTTTTAATATCCATACCAAGTCAAACTATGTCACATAGAAAGTATATAATTTGTAGTTTATTGTATAGAGGTGTAGCTGTTGCTCTGGGAATTATTTTTAGGCATGCTGGGTGTATAATGCAGTTTAATCATTATTTTTGGAGCGAGTTGTTTACAGGTTTTTAGTTGCTAACAGTTTATGATCTGTGCATGTCAGTTTAAATAGTGGAGGCTAAATAAAGCTGTTTTGATTTATCATTAGATGATGGAAAGGAACAACCTTGAGCTTCATGTTTCTCTTTGAGTTTGAATAACTTTTTTTTATTTCTTTGATGCTGATTTCCGTATCTTGATTATACGAAATTTTCGATTTTCAGGGGCCTCCAAACAAGAATGGGGGTTGTGAAACTTGTCATGGGAACTTTAGAGAGTGTCCAGGTCATTACGGATACTTGGTGCTTACTCTACCTGTTTATAATGTTGGATATTTAGGCACAGTTGTGGACCTCTTGAAGTGCATATGCAAGGTGATATCTTGTTTGAACTTAACCCCTTTGATTTCTGCGGCAATAAGCTATTTGTAGTTTTCACTTAGAGGGTGTTTGGATTGGCTTATTTTAAGTGTTTATTGGCTTTTAAGCACTTTTTTTTGTGGTGTTTGACAATGATAAAAAGTACTAAAAAGCACTTACTTTAGGCATGAAAAGTACAAAAATAAGCCACAAGTCAAAAGTTGGGTATTACCAACTTATGGCATTTGGCTTTTAGCTTATAAGCTACTTTTTTAAAAGCCAATCCAAACACCCTCTTAATCTTTTCTGGTATATATCAACTTTATACAACTTCAAGAATGCAATTTAACTGGGCAGAGAGGTTGAAAATTTAGTTTTTCTTCCACATCATATTGGTAGCAGTGAGGAAAAATTGTATACAAATTGTTTAAAATTTCTTTGATTGAAAAAAAAGAAGTCATTTATAACTTTAATTTTAAGCTGTTGAATGATGAAAATTTGTGATAGTTTTATGTTAAGTTATATTTTTAGAACTGTGAAATTATTTTAGAGACATTAAGTAGAATAATGAGTAAAAGACACCTAAGTTCCCATTATTGTCAAGACAAAAATAGCAGTATATTGATCAAAACTCCATGTAATTGATGTGCCTTTTCATAATACTTGTGCAAATCTCCAAATTACAAACATAATATTCAGTTTAGAGTAGGCGTTCATTTATTATAAATTATATTAACAATAAAATTTTCAGATAATTGCAGTTGTCGTAAATATCTCATTAATATAGAATAGGATAAGAAAACATGGGTACGAGCAGATGTCCTCCAAAAAATACGTAATCTGATTTTTCCAGTTAACGATTATGAACTCTGGAGGGAAAGCCTTAAGATCTTGTAACTCTTAGTGAGAGACCTTGATTCTTATAGTCTTGTTCTTGTTTTTATTACTTTGCTTGTTGTATACTTCAAAGTTCTCATATGTCGTGGTCCAAAATAATTAGTGAAGAATGAAGTTGAGAATAATAAACATTTTTGGCTGTCATTAATTTTTTTTTTTAAAAAAATTAAGGTTATTATGAGCATTATTATGAGGTCAAAAAACATGTCTGGTGCTTATGAACATTTTTGTTTCTAGTTGAGAAAAAAATAGAAACTCTCTTAGAGATCAAATATAAAGTCGTTTTGGTATCAAAATTTTAGTTATGGAAAATTTAAATGAAAAGTAGAAGCTGGTTTGGAGGCACAAAATATTTTTGAAACAAATTCAAAAAAGAAGTGGGGCGTACATATTATGACACTGACTTGGTCGTTTATTTATGAAATTGTTTCTCCCAAAAAAGAAAAGAAAGAGGAAAAAAGAACGAAATAGACGAGAATGACCGTGCTTGGTTTGGCAGATTTAGTGAGTCTGTTCTAGAATATGGGATGAAGAAAAGCAATTGCGATCATACGGTGTTTTATAAAAAGTCTGATGATGGTATTCTTTTATTGGTAGTATATGTTGATGACATCGTTATTACTGGAAGTGATATTACAGGAATTTCAACTCTAAAGTCTTTCCTTCACACTCAATTTCAGACGAAAGATTTAGGGCAACTAAAGTATTTTTTGGGAGTTGAAGTTACACGGAGCAAGAAAGGCATCTTCTTGTCCCAAAGGAAATATACTCTTGACTTGTTAGCTGAAACTGGAAAGTTGGGATCTAAACCATGCAGCATGCCAATGGTTCCTAACACACAACTCGTGAAAGAAGACGGTGAGTTATTCGAAGATCCAGAGAAATATAGGAGATTGGTTGGGAAACTGAACTATCTTACAGTAACTCGTCCCGATATCGCATACTCTGTCAGCATTGTGAGTCAGTTTATGTCTTCCCCAACAGTCAGGCATTGGGCGGCTCTGGAGCAGATTCTTTGTTATCTAAAGGGATCTCCAGGACGGGGTCTAGTATATAAGAATAATGAACACACTAACATTGAGTGTTTCACAGATGCAGATTGGGCAGGGTCAAAAGCCGATAGGAGATCCACGACAGGATATTGCGTTTTTGTTGGTGGAAACTTGATTTCGTGGAAGAGTAAGAAACAAAATGTCGTATCTCGATCTAGTGCGGAAGCAGAATACAGAGCTATGGCACAATCTGTGTGTGAGGTTGTATGGGTACATCAACTATTAAGTGAAGTTGGCTTCCAAACTACATTGCCAGCAAAGTTGTGGTGTGATAATCAAGCTGCTCTTCATATCTCCTCTAATCCTGTATTTCACGAAAGGACTAAGCACATTGAAATAGATTGTCACTTTGTTCGTGAAAAGATTCAACAAAAGCTCATCTCTACAGGTCATGTTAGAACTGGAGATCAATTGGGAGACATTTTCACAAAAGCTTTGAATGGAGCTCGAGTTGAATATATCTGTAACAAGTTGGGCATGATCAATATATATGCTCCAACTTGAGGGGGAGTGTTAACATACAAGTTGTCTAGCACATGTATACACATGTACTACATCATAGCTAGCACATGTATATGAGTTGTATAGTAGGTGTAATACAAGTTGTGTAGCACATGTATACACATGTACTACATCATAGCTAGCACATGTATATGAGTTGTATAGTAGGTGTAATTAGGTGTATGACAACTAATAGATTAGGTGAATTAGTATTATAAATAGGCCTTGTAATCTTCTCTTCTAGATATGAAATATAGAACTTCTTTGGTTTCTAACAAAGTAAGAGGAAAAAAGGCAGTAATTTGAAGTTAATGTTGAAAAACTAGTAATTCTGAATTAGCATGGTAGAGGAAGTAGATGGGATGTTTGGGGAGTATGCTATTTATGCAGTAATTTTAAATTAACATGTAAAAACTAGTTTTGGAGGCAGCAGAATCTTTGAATCAAATTTAGAAGAAAGAAGAAGTGGACTCTGATGGGTTTGTTGTAGGGGAGAGATACAAATAGTTTTAAGGTGAGTTAGTTTGGGGGGAAGGTAAAAAGATGACAGATAGGGTAAGGGTAGACTTATCATGGCGTGAGGGTTTAAGGCGTGTTATATGTGCAAACACGAAATTGCCCGTTTTACGAATATAAAGAAAAAAAGCGTTGCGATGGATTTCATCTGCTGAAGGTAAAGTTAGGATGTCCTGGTGGAGAATGGTCACTGCAAAAGTTAGCTCAGATAGGGATATAGCACAGGTCACTAATTAAAATAAACATGACTGGGAATAGCAATAGAGTTGGTACAAATCGAACAATCCTGACCTCAAAAGCTAATTGGTAGTCATCCATGCCAGGACCATTTATTTGAGTCTGATACTTTCACCAAGATTCCCATGTGAAGTTGGTTAGGAGAGTAGTATTTACCAAACCAAACAAAATGAAAAAACCAAGAAAAGAAAAAGAAGAAAATGGTTTGGAGATAGTACGAGTGATATTAGTAATTTATGATGCCCTGTCAGAGTTTTGTTTTCTTTTTTCCTTCCTCTGACCGTGCTCAAGAGTTTGGTATCTACTTTGCTTGCAGTGCTTTACTATTTTTCCTTATGCAACCACTTTTTTTTTTTATCAGTGCTGCTCCTCAATACTTCTAGATGACAAGGAGCGTCGAGTCTTTTTGAAGAAGATGAGAAATCCAAGAACTGAGCCTTTGATGAAGAGTGAACTACAGAAAAAGGTTGTGAAAAAGTGTACTTCCATGACAAGTGGCCAGAAGAGTGTCACATGTTCCAAATGCGGATACATGAATGGTTTGATATTCTTCTTCGTCTTCATCTTTTTGGCTACAGCTAGTCCTTTGTTCTAACCTATATTACTTGGACTCTTCAAAAATGTTGTTGGGTAATTATCGGATCATCCAAATTTAGTGCATTTTTGGAGGATCCGACACGGTTGCGGCAACACTTTTGGAGAGTCCGAGCAACATAGGTTCTAACTAGATGCCATCTGCATTGCTGTTGACTATTTATTATGCATGTGCAACTATTTCTACGTGATTTTGAAGGGCATTCATTTGAATAAATCTAGGAAAATTGCTTTATCTATAATATCAAAATCAAAGTGAGCGGATATTATTTAACTTGTAAATTTGAAAAATATGTGAAAATTGGTGAAACTTTTTTCTTGAAAAATTGCTTCAGATTCTCCAAAGCTGAAAAAAAATTCCGATTTTTTCCCCAAGTAAATGTTTTTCGATTTTTCTAAAAGCTGAAATGCTATTCCAGTCTCCAGAGGTGTTTTTTTAGTTTCCTACAATAACTAAAAACTTTTATCTAGAAATGGCATTTGGTTGGAATTCTTTTTTCCACAAAAATTGATAAGGATTTTCGTAGAAGACTTTCGACACTTTATGATAACAAATGCTCCATTGTTTAGAAGGTTGGGCCTTGAATTTTTCTTGATATCTAGTGTTGAATGTTAAATTTTGTTTTAGCTTTTACGTTGAGGAATTCACATTTCTCTTTATAGAACCAATGCTGTAATACTTCTTTTGGCATGTGAATCGTATAATATGTAGATAATTCTTCAACAAAAAAATTCCTTAATACTAATTGTCAAATTCAAGCTCATTGTAACATGCATATTGCCGGTAAGACCAATAAAGAAACCAATTGTTATAATGCCTCTTGTAGATAAATAGTCACCATACCTACTAATTTACATTGGGATGGATCTTTGTTCCGAGTTGCATTTATTCTTTTTTATGCTGGATTATATTCCATAGTGGGTAAAGGTGTTAAAAAGGAAAGAGGTAGACCTAAAATCACTTGGAAGGAAGTTGTCTCAAAAGACCTACAATCTTTCGGAATCAATGCAGATTTAGCGAAAGAAAAAATTTGTATATGCAATATCAGTTACTCCGTCCCAATTTACGTGGCATCGTTTGACTAAGGACAAAGTTTAAGAAAGAAAGGAAGGCTTTTGAAACTTGTGGTCTAAAACAAGTCTTAGATATTTATGTGACTATAAATCTTCTTATTAAAGGTAACATGGAATTTTAATGTTAAATTGTTTTCAAATATAGAAAATTGATATCCTTTTTGGGACAGACTAAAAAGGAAAGAGTGCCACATAAATGGAATGGAGGGAGTAGCTAGGAATGTATTTTAGTCATGTTAAGACGTTTATTAACGTCCTATACTTTGTAGGAGTCTTCTAGCGCTATTAGATATTCTTATGCGACTAGGAAATATAGAGAATGTCTAGCACTTTTCATATTTATTTTTATGTTGTATAATGTTAGTGTGAGATGATTTAAATGGGGAATAAAGTTATGGATTGATTGGTTTTTGCTTCAGTGGTTTCTCTTTATGCATAGAGGAGATACTTGCCATGTAGTTCTCTTATAAGCGATGAATTTGTTCACTAGGATAAGTAAATAAAATATCTCTGTAAGGACTCATGGAGGTAGGGGTAGGAGTAGATGGGTTATTTTCAGTGAAGTCTTTATCATAAGCTCTAGGCAAAGGATGAGTCAGAGTTTTCCATACATATCGATTTGGATTCCCATAGGACAACAAAAAAAGTTTGCTTTTTTGCTTGGTTGGCAACAAGAATTTGAGAAAAAGGCGAATTGCATATGTAAGTTGGTGCTTCGTGTGCACATGTCTAGGTGAAGATGGGGACCACATCCAACTATATTGTTAAGCGGTAACTCGCTTGTCATGTGGGATTTTGAGATGATTTATGATGCAGTGGGCCATGCTGGGTACAGTGAAGAAGGCACTCTTCAACTTGAAATTTAGAAGAACAAAAGAGAATTTGAAGAGCATGAGATGTTGCACTACTAGGATTTATTTGGGTTATGTGGAACGAAAGTAATAGGAGAACATAGAGAACGACTATGTACACTTGAGGATTAGCCTGTCATTCCTAGTTTCTTTTTGGTGCACCCATGAGATTCCAATGTATATAGAAGATTCTGTATCATTCATAGAGACTCATATTATGTTGTAAATTCTCTAGTTTTTTGTATATTGTTTGTATACGAGAGATTTTTCCATTATTAATAAAAGTATTTACCTTAAAAAAAATGTCGAAGCTTATATAATTTTTGTTGAATTGTGTGACCATCCCATCCAAAAAATTAAGCCGTTAGGGATATCACACTTATTTACTTAATTATGTATTCAACATGCCCACTCACGTGCATATCTGAGTTTTTTTCATGAGCCAATCACATGGAAATCCTCTTTGATAATCTGTAGCGATGGGACTCGAATTCGGAACCTCTGCTTGCTAGTATGCAATGTTGAAGTGTGTGACCAACTTATATAAAAGCTTAAACCGTCAGCGAGCACTTTTGATAAGTATTAAGATATTATATAAATACTTGAACTAAGCTAGTGGAACAAGCGTAGTTGCAAATTGCGTCTCTTTTTAGCATTGTATCTACTTCATTTACATTAACCAGTTTTCACCAAAAAGCCACCAAAAAATACATCTATGTTTAAGGCTATGAATGCTTCTTCTTTTTCTTAATTATGCCTTCAACAATTTCGAATGGTTGGGCTGAAAATTTTATTAGATATAGGGGAGGCTGTGGGTGCTCTATGGTTTTTGCATGGTGATAGTATCTTCATGACCTCATTGTTTATCTTATTCTTTTATTTTATTATAATTGTTAGGTATGGTGAAAAAGGGTCAGTTAAAAATCATCCATGAACGAGGAAATCGTTTCTTGGACGAGTTTAATGCGGCTATCTCTCACAAGATAGATCTCAAGACATCTGTTAGTGTGCCTCCAGAAATTGATCCAAAAGCAGTTTACTCCCTTTTTAAGAATATGTCTGATGAGGTATTGTTTGATATTTGTTAATTTTTGTACTCCTTTCTCTCATTTTTTTATGTGCAATCCTTTATTCTTCTTTTTACCATTGTTCTCTCATTGTTTCACATGCAGGATTGTGAGCTACTCTACCTCAGCGATAGACCAGAAAAACTTCTTGTCACAAGTATCCCAGTGCCACCAATAGCTATTCGCCCTTCAGTATTTGTGGATGGTGGAACACAGAGGTCATATGCAATTATTTGTCTTATAAATTTTTAATTTGATCTAGATATTCGTAGACAATATAAGATATTTTAATGCACAGATTTTCCCCCCACTTGAAAGTTTTTAAGTTGTTTATAATTTTCTGTTCTGTCAATTTTGGTCATAAGTAGCTGTTTTACTTGTTTTGGGATGTAAACTTTTCGAGGTGTAGGTCGTCGACAATCTTATGTTTGCCCGAGATATAAAAATATGACAAACAAACGTCTAGTGTTGGAGGAGATTGGCAGTAATCAGGATATTTTGTGACTAATTGTTACATCGCTGACCTAACATAGGCTAAATAATTTCTAATTGGACATTGAGACCCCATTTGTTTCTGTTGAGATTAAGACGTATGAATCTGGATACACGTCTCAATAGTAAGATGTGTATTAGGATTAAGACATCTAAATATTAAGATGTTGTATTAAGATTTGAATACTAAATAATTAAGATTGCTTGTTTTCTTAACATTTGGGTGTAAAAAAGTTTTTTTTTATTTGAAATTAATAGATATGAAATTCAAATAAAATACTAATTAATCTAATAATATATCAACAAACAACAACAACAACAACCACCCAATATAATCCCAAGTGGGGTCTGGCGAAAGTAGGATGTACGCACCTTTACCCCTATCCTGGAAGGACAGAGAGGCTGTTTCCGATAGACCCTCGGATAAAGAAGGTGAGAGAAACCCGGATAGCAAGTAATGACAAGACAAATAATTAGAAAACTAAATCGAAGATAGCAATAGAGAATATGAAAGGAAATAATATATCAACAACATAATTTTTAAAAAATTATATGGTGTTTGGTGGTGATGATGACTAGTGGGTTGTGGGCAGGGGCGGAACCACGTTATATCAAGAGGGTTCAACTGAACCCGCTTCGTCAAAAAAAAATTTGGTGTTTATATGTATAAATTTTATATAAAAGTAGAAGGTATAACAAAAATGAATCCGCTTGGGAAGACATTAAGGCTGTGGTCCAGCGGTCTAGCAAGGTCATTTGTTTCCAAGAGAGTTGAGATCGATTCCCGCTGGCGTGTGTTATTGTACTTTTAGTTTTTCTAAAGCCACGAGAGTGCATGCATTAATGCATGACACTTCGTGCATTAAAACATTAGATAATTCCTAGGTCCTTGTAGTCGCAACAGACTTCTCTATTGTGAGTATAATATTTTAGTTTATTAACTTTATCATTTATTATTTTTGAGATCTACTATTGAAACATTAATAATAATTAAGGTTATATTATTTATTGTTAAATAATAATTTTTAAAAGTTACTTGTACGTGTAAATTCATGACTGCATGTTTTATATTATAGTTTAACAATTGTGCAATTCATAAAGTTGTATGCCCTCTTTTTGGATAGGTGAAATTTAGGTTTCTTTGCTTTTTATATAGTTATTTATTCGTTTAGTAAATTCTATGTTTATTTTGTTTCAAATTTCTATATTTTTATTGCTATTAACTATAAGAGTAAGCACAAAAATCTAACTGAAGACTAAAAAGGAAAATTTGAGGTCTTCTATGATTTTCACCCGGGGGATGTGAATGATTTTCACCCTTCTTTAAAAAAAAAGAAAGTAGAATACCACCTCAAAATGAAAATTTTCAGGAGTATTATGGGAATTAACAAAAAATGATAATTACTAATGTCGATTACTTATGGGGCTTCAATATTTTTTTTGACCCGACTTGAATAAAATTCTGGATCCGCCACTCGTTGTGGGTGCTGACTGGGAGTAGTGGTTGGTGGTAGTGTTAGCTGACGGTGGTAGTTGTAGGTAGTAATTAGTGGTGATGATGGCAGGGCGATAGTGGTTAACGATGGTGGTAGTTGGTGGTGGCGGCTTATAATTGTGGTGGATGATTGTGGTATCTAATGGTGGTGGTGACTGATATAGGTGGTTGATTAGTGGTGGCAGGTGGTGGATGATGGTGATTGTCGGTAGTGATTAGTGGTTGTTATGGTAATGGTAGTGATGATTGTAAATGGTGTCCAGTGATGGAAACGGCTGACTGTGGTGACCAGCAGCGACAGTTGTGGCTGAGTAAGGTGGTTGTGTCTTGTGAGTGGTGGATAGTGGGCAGTGGTAGTTAATAATGACGGGCGGTGCTACTGGCGATGACGACGATTAGCGATGAAAGTGGATGAAGTGGTGGTGAAATGCCATTTTTGCAGAAATCTCAGAATGGGTAGCATCTTAATGATATTAATACTTTGTTGTAAGTCTTGATAGTTCAGATTTATTCAGACCCATCAAATGGTTGTAAAATAAAAAAATAGTCACACTTAATGATTGAGAGATGAATGTTTAATAGCCTGTTTAGCCAAGCTCCAAAATCAGCTTATTTTGAGAAGTGTTACTTTTTCCAAAAGTACTTTTAGTTTGTGTTTGGCTTAATTAATTTAAAACGCACTTCTGAGCGGCAATTAGTGTTTGGCCAAGCTTTTAAAAAGTGTTTCTAAGTGTATTTTTCTCAAAAATGCTTTTGGGGAGAAGTTATTTTTTTCTACTTGTCCAAAACCGCTTCTACTCAAAAACACTTTTTTTTTCTTCTAAAAGCTTGGCCAAACACTTCAACTTTAAAAAAAAAGCACTTTTTTTTTGGTTGAAAAAAGTGCTTTTGACTTTAGAGAAGCTTGGCCAAACATGCCATAAGATTTAGACATAAAAAACAAACTTTAGTTAATGACTGAAATATGAATGATTAAAATTCAAACCTTCATTGAGTGCAAACAATGAGGCCTAAGCATAGTTTAATTACGTTGTGATTGTGAACAACAATTTTCAGCGTTAATTTATAGTCCACGGAAACTTGATTCCTAATATTATGGCCGATATTCCTCTCATTTTTGTAGCTTTACATGATTGACACGTTGATATATCTATCCATATTCTGATAGATGGTCAAATTACCACTTGAAGTCTGACTTTGTCCTTTGCAGTGTTATTATCTTTGAATTACCACTTAATGATTGAGATCTGATTATTAGGATTCAGACCTAAAAAATAAACACACTTAATGACTGAGATATGAATGATTAAGATTTAGACCTTCATTAATTGTAAACAAATGAGGACTAAGCATAGTTTTATTGCTTTGTGATATTGAACAACAATTTTCAGTGTTAACTTTTAGTCTATGAAACTCGAGTCCTGATTTTATGGCCAAATCATTCAGCTTTTCATGATTAATACGTTGATATAGACTCTCAAATTACCACATGAAGCTTTGTCCTTTGTAGTGTTATTATCAGTCACCGTATGATTCAAATACTTTTGTTAATGCCTTGAAGTTGTTCAATTGCATGTTGCAGCAATGAGAACGACATCACAGAGAGGCTTAAGCGTATTATTCAAGAAAATGCCAGACTTCTCGAAGACATTTCTGATACCAGTTTTCAAAACAAGAGTCTGGTATTTTTTAGTTCACTTCCTGATCTTTTGTGATCAAAGACTTCCTTCTCATTTTGAAAATCAATGATTCAGTGTTATCAATTATCAGCTTTTTGTAGCTTCTTTTTTTGGTTAATTAGATGGAAATCTTAATATACTTTTCATGGACTTTATATTCAATATGTGCTGTATTGCTGCTATGTTATAGTCGAACTCTGCATACTGGAATGAGAAGTACTAGGCATGTTTTGATATCTATTGCATCTCACCCATTGCCAAAATATTTTACATTGCATATCGACATTTTAGGAGTCCATTTTCTTATAAGTGATGTTCAGAAACCTAATATGATTATATCTCCCGTTCCATAATTGTGGGTGGCTATTTGTGGTTGGTTTTTCTTACAACAAGTATAGAGTAGAGTGTTAAGAGGAATCTCAATTGGTCTTACTCCTTATTGAAGTTGTTGAGTTATATAAAATCCTCATTAGATAAATAAGAACATCCAAATTATAAAGATTTTGGGCCGCTTCACCCTTTGCATGAATGTTTCAGTTGGATGCTTAGGTCTTTAGTGTGGTATCTCAGACACACTTTGTTAATTCTGAAGAACATTTACCTTGAGTCTGATTCAGCCTCAAAAACTAGCTCATTTGGTGAAAATTGTACTCGACCACATGAGAATTTCTGCTTCTGCCAGCTTTTTTTCACCATGCCAGTTTCTGTTAACTCTTATCAGGTTCTCAGCATGTTATTTCTAGCATCATCTTTTGCCGGCTGTGGAAAAGCACCAGTTGATAACTTTATTTCTAAGTTAGAGATGTACTTTAAGATATTTATGATGCAATAGCATGCAAATTACAACTGATGGGAATTCTTTCATATATTATGCACTTTAACACTGGTGGGTTAGTCCTTTGCACTTGCTGGCTTAGCAGTTTAAGTTGTCCTCAGGGGGTGAATACTAATACCAGGGTTACATTCTCTCCTATCCAAATTGACCTTTTACTTCCATAATATGAATTTGAGAATTTATCCATTTATACCTGTGGAGATAGCTGCAACAATAGATTTTAAACCTATGTTAGGTAAATTATTTATCAAATTGTTTTAGAACTGTTGAAACGGAAAAGCCTTGTGCTTTTGTTAAATCTTGGTATATCCGCACACTATTGCAAATTACTGTGTCTTCAAGATTAAATGTCTAGGATAGTGTCGGGTAGATTTCTGAATCTAACTACTGTATAAGCGATTCGACTAGGTTTGTCTGGTAGTTTTGTTAGTTCTGCCAAATCCTAGCACTACTTCACCAAATTATCTCCTTTTGGAAAGATATACCTGTTTCTTTTTATAGTCTTATTGAACACTATGGCAGTCACTCGAGAGTCTAGATATCAATCCTGCTAACTGTGTGCCAAGCTTTCTATTCCCTGGTGAACACTACAAAATGATCATGCATTTTTTGACATTGGTTTGACATAGTTACTGAATGTTTAATATGAGCTTTTCCTATGAGAGATATATGTCAGCAAAAGGTGTCTATTTAGGCTGCACTCGAGGCGCGTAACAGGCAGGGTTTTTCCAAACGTTAGAGCTATTTGGAAGTTTTGTACCGTGCATGGATAATTGTCAATTTTCTGATGCATTAGGACCAGATGTTTTCTGCCTATTCATGCTACCTTCCTGTTTTTTTGGCTTACTAGATGTTACAACTTTGATATAGAATGCTTGGGTTGGTCTGCAAATGGAAGTTGCACAGTATATAAACAGTGATGTTCGTGGAGTGCCACTACATTTGCAAGCTAGTAAACCAATGAGTGGTTTCACTCAACGCCTTAAAGGAAAGCAGGGACGATTCCGTGGAAATCTCTCGGGGAAGCGTGTGGAATATACTGGCCGAACTGTTATATCTCCTGATCCAAATTTGAAAATTACAGAGGTCTGCCATGAAACTATTGTTTGATCAATATTGGTCGTTTTATTTCACTGTGAAGGTAGAATCACAAATAAATATGCAGGTTGCCATTCCAATACTGATGGCTCGAATTTTGACATATCCTGAGCGAGTTTCACAGCACAACATAGAGAAGTTGAGGCAATGTGTTCGTAATGGACCAAATAAATATCCTGGTGCAAAGTTTATCAAGCATCCTGATGGAACTGAGATGTATGAAGTATTAATTTTTTTAACCCCTTCCTGTAAAACACATCCATAAATCTTCTAAAGCCTGTCTTAATTGTATAATGCAGATCGTTGATGTTCTCTTCTAGAAAGCGTCATGCTGATGAATTGAAATTTGGTTATATTGTTGATCGGCATCTGGAAGATGGAGATATAGTCCTGTTTAACAGACAGCCAAGTCTTCATAGGATGTCAATCATGTCTCATCGGGTGACTATTATTTGATCAAATGATGTGTGAATGGACGTTTTGTTCGTGCGGGCAGTGGATTAATTCTGCTTTTAAATTTTAAATTTTTAATTTTTCCGTCAGGCAAGGATAATGCCATGGCGCACATTGAGATTTAATGAATCTGTATGCAATCCTTATAATGCTGATTTTGATGGGGACGAGATGAATATGCATGTGCCACAAACAGAAGAGGCGAGAACAGAGGCTCTTATGTTAATGGGGGTAAGTTTATTCCTTCCGTCCATCTTTACCTGACATATGTGAAGAATTGAGTAAAATGGTAGTGGTTTGAGTTAGCTAGACAAGTATTTGAATTAATAGTAATGTGAAAAAGAGAAGTCCAGTTGAGAAAAGGCGGCATCTTAGTGTTTTGAGGGTAAACATTTGATGTGTTGAGAAAAGTGTCAACCTTTTGTGGTTGGACTAAGACAGAAATATGGCATATACTATCCAACCGATACAAAGTCTGTTTTGACTAACATTTTCAATTGTATTCAAATTTTAAGAGAAGTAATTTGCTTGGTATAGTCCTCACAATAAAAAATTTCTTGGTATGGTCCACAGTTTTATTTTATATACATAATGTAGTACAATTTCTGGGAAGAACCAAAAATTTAGATTCAATATGGGATGATGATATGCCGGGTTGGGTGTTTTCATTCCATTTATGCAGCTTACAGCTTGTTTGGATGGTTGTTACCTATTGTATTGTATCGTATTGTCACTTTAAATACAATGTTTGTTTTGATTGTTACTTAAATTTTATTGTATCGTATCGTCAAATCCGTCCGTACATAATGATGAAAAGTCACTTTATGGAACGACGGATTTGGTGTGGCGGCGGCGTTACCTTGCTTTTTTTCTCTCATCTTGCCCTTCCTTATTATTAAATAATCATATTTTATCCTTTACCCTACTCTTTTATATAATAATTTTACTCCATATTCCTATTTTTTCTTAGTAATATTGCAAGTTTATTCTTCATATTGTCGGTGCATGACATCATGAAACGACGATAAACGATACAATCTATCCAAATATTGTATTTATCAAACAATACAATACAATACAATATGATACGATACATTATAAAACGATATGTAACAACAATCCAAACAAGCTGTTAGAGTTTACTGCTTCAGGACATCTATTTGACTGACGACCGTGATGTCTCAAAATCTCCATTTTCTCGATGTAGTTTGCTTTTTCCCTTTCCCAAAGCAAGGTGACTTATCTTTTCCCCTGTCTACTCAATCTTTTTGTGATCGATACTTTCGTTTCCTGTTGGGGATAAAATATAGATTTGCTTGTTCCATTGTCAATGGTGTTGTCTGTCTGAAAGCTCCATTGGCGTATCAGGATGGTGTCATCTTATATCATGATGACATCCCTAGCTGCTGCTTCCTAGCTGAAGTTATTTAATTGGATGTATAGGCATATGTTACAAGATCTAGGGGGAGGGATTTGGTTCTTCTTCTAATTTTCCTTTATTCCAGATTTTTTCTCAAGGCTTTTTATGTGAGGTCAAGGTTTCATTATCTATGCTTTAGTAATCTTACTTTTCGGTTAGAAAGTTTACTGATAATTGGCTATAAAAAAAAATTCCTGAAAATTATAATTGGAAACTTAAAAGGCAGACCCTTCAAAACTCTATTTTTTCATGATATTTTGTGTATAATGGGGCAGAAATTGTTTCGATATCCTCTAACTATGACCAAAACAGGATATGAAGAAATATCGAACTTGTTCTTTGCTTGTCCCTACATTAGTTTTCTCCTTCAAGTGTTTGTGATGGTAATGCAGGTTCAAAACAATTTATGCACTCCGAAGAGTGGAGAAATTTTGGTTGCTTCTACCCAGGATTTTTTGACGTCTTCCTTTCTCATCACGAGGAAGGACACATTCTATGATCGCGCTTCCTTTTCACTTATATGCTCATATATGGGCGACGGAATGGATCCTATAGATTTACCAACTCCAGCACTGATTAAGGTTGGTAACTTCGAAAGAGTTTGTGAACTTTTACTTCTGCTTGCTGCCTAATTGATGAAGTTTTCATTTTCAAACATTCTTCTTTGATCCTCTTTCTATTCCTCCATGTGCTCCTTTCATGTTTCCAACTTGATTGATGATTGATCAGACATAAGGTTTCACAAGCCAATGAAGTGTTTTCACAGAACTTTGAAAATTCTAAGTAGCAATTGCACAGTTCAACATGTGAACTGCAATGATTATCAAGAATAAATCAATTATGAAATACTTTTCCTGGAAGTGCTTTCACAAATATTATGCATATGGATGTGCCATTTGCATTTTTTTAATTTTAGAAGTTTAGGTATTCTTTCAATTAATTCTTTTTTCCGTTCAATTGATATCTTTTTTATTGTTTTTATGTTAGAATGTTAGTGTTGAAGAGACGATTTAGTAAATAAAGTGTGCTCTCTCTAATAGTTTGAAATTTTAGATGAGATGGTCACACACTTCAACATGGTATCAGAGCAGGCATAGGTCCTGTGTTCGAGTCTCACTGCAATCATTACAGAGAATGAATTTCCACGTGCTTGGCCAATGAAAATATGAATGAAGCCTGTGGAGGGGGCGTGTGAAAAGACAATTAAGTAAATAAAGTATGCTATCTCTAATATCTTAAGCTTTTAGATGAGATGGTGATGTACTTTCAAAGTTTTGCACCTCTCAAGCACAAAGAAGAGAGAAAAACAAAAGCACCCTGCGAAAGTTTTTTCACAAAACGAGCGAAAGCGTTCTTCAAACTCACGTTAGAAGAATGTAAGATGAAAAGAAACCCCACCCACACGTTCCTCAATCCCACAAGATTGCAAGAAGCGTTGAATGAGCGAAGAAGAGGAAACGAAAGAGTCAATCACGTTTTGAAGCTAATGCTCAAAGAAACTAATCACCAATGTTTATTTTCAGCATATTGAGCCCTTTAAATAGGCCTTACAATGAGTATAATTGATGAGGTTAAGGAAAACTAATCCTAGTTGAACTAGAATAAGAAAAAGGTTAAGAAAAACTTATTCTAACTAAAATAAGAAAAGGTATAAGTGTTGTCAAAAGCGCGCTTAAACCCTGAAGCGAGGCTCAAAGCATGTTGAGCGCTTCGCCTCGCTTTGTGGGCGCTTTAGTGTGGCATCAAAGGTCTAAGGCATACTTTTCCTTGTCAATGAGTGTAATCCTGAAAATGTGTCATTAAACAATTGATATTTCACTTTATCATAAATATTTTGCAATTTTTTTGTCCATATATTTGTTATTTATGCGTATAATTATTAAGCTTGGACTACATATACATATTTTTACTTTTTCTCCGGTTGCGCCTTTTTCATTAAAGCCCACACTTTATTTGCGCTTTGCGATTAAAAACCCCAACGGACCTTAGAGCTTTTTTGCGCTTTTCGCCTTTGATAACATGGGGTATTCTAGTAAGGATGGGATATTAACTAACAATCCTAGTTTGACTAGACTATAAATATAATCCTACCGAAACAAGAATTAAATTACTACGAAACAAGAAATAAGAAATCTTAATCTTCAAGGAAAAGAAATCCTAATCTTGAATGGATTCTTGGCTTCTTGAATTTCTTGGATTCTTGACCTTCTTGATTTTGCATCTGGTCACACACTTCTACAGTTAGAATACTGTTTGCGTATATACTCTTACAGTGGAAGAATGTTTTAAGCATTGTTTAAAGTCTATAAAAGCATATATGCATAAAAAACTTGTCTTCCCTTATTTCTCATCTATTGTCCATGTTTTTAGTTTCTGCGACTACTTTATTCCCTGGAAGCGTGGACGGCTTTACTTTGGAATGCTGGCTTGGTGATCAACAGGTCTTTACATGGTTTTCTGAGGAAAATATATGTTTCCTAGGGGGTTGAAAAAAATTGACACTCCCAATCTGCTGTGAAGGGAAGGCAGTGTAGTGGTTGTGGAAAGGGTGTGCAAAGAATCGGATGGGCTGGCAATGAACTTTTGTTTCCTTTTTTTTGGTTGGTCTTGGGGCTGCCTTACCCAGCATAAGCAGACTAACACCTTTTAGCTTTTGCAAGCATGTGTAGTTACTAGCTACCTCTTTGTATTTTTCAGTAAAGATATAACAGTGAGGCTTTTGTAGACTCATTATGGCAAGAACTTTTTAGGAATTTGCTGGTTATGGGACTTCCTTACCCACACCATCAGCAGATCTCCACTTTTTTGCTTTGCAAGTATGCGTCGGTGCCTCTTTCCATCTGTCAGTAAAGAAGCATGCGAGGCCTTTGTAGTTCATCATAAAGTAGTACTCTGGAATTAGGTTTTTGACCTGTGTCTCATGAGGGCTTGTCGGATTTGTGGGTGGAATAGTCCGTAGATGGCCATACTTCCCCCCCTAATGTGCTCTCTCTCTCTCTCTCTCTCTCTCTCTCACACACACACACACACACAGAGAGAGATTGTGTTAACCCAAGTAGTAGATAAGTGTGTAATTGAGAGGAAGAAAAGGAAATC